GATCAAATTCGATTTTTGACCGGGCCACTTGCATTTACATAGTATTAGTTTGTCCAGCCCGAAATAGGGGTCCGGGTCACTTGTTTAAAGGGGCCGACTGTCCGGGCCGAGTCGGTTTTAATAACAATGCTCAATATAGTATTTTATAGCAGGAGAATGATTTGTTACTAAATTTTAGGTAAATGATTTTATAGCCCAAAACCAAAATTTGGTCAAATAAATATGGTGTGTGTTTTGTAATTGATAATTCTAATAAAGCTTGTTTGGTAATGTTGGGTTTTTTAACCCGAAAATATAAAAACGATGAAAAAGTGAAATACAACCACAAAGCAGAAAATTAAAGGAACATCAAGAAATGTTTACCCAATTTAGCAAATGCCTAATTTGGGGGCTCAGAGATTAGCACAATAGAAACCTTCCAAAGAGAGAGTTCAGATCATGAGAGATTCAATCAGATACAGACTTAATCATAAATCTTCTACAAGATCTCTAAAATCGTAAATTCTAACAAAAAATAACCAAGAACTTATTGAACTATTATAGACTCAAAAATCAGCCACTATCACAGGCATAATACACTATAGCAACATGAATCACACAGGATTCCTCAACAATTTTGGTTAGAACCACAAAGAAATCACAAATCGAAATCAAGAAGAAGATCGAAAAACTACACAGAGAAAGAGCAACTCAAACGAAGAACCACGAATAAATGAATCATCCAAAAACGTTCCATCCATCCAAGTTGGCAATTTTTAAAAAAATTATTATTTTTGAGAAACACGTTTTCTCTATAAGTAAAATTTATATAAAATCCACCGAATTAAATATAGCAGAATTAATCTCTTGTTCACAATGAGCACGATAACAAATGTCCATCGTTGACGTGACAACTTCACATTGTGAATAAGATAATTCTTACCCACTAATAGCATGAGATCAATTCTATTAAAGATGGAACCTTTAAACATGGACCTATTATCAAATTCAATTCAATCGCATTAATTATATTGTATCAAAAATTCGCATAATGTAATAGTAGTAGAAAAAATATTAAAATTATTAGTTGTTACAATCCACAAGGGACAATGTAGAGCATGTTTGTCAAGTAATTTTATCTTACTAATAAAAAAATAGCTTTAAAAATAATATTTGACGAAACAAATAATTAAATTCATTTTTAAGCACATCCGATCATGATATTTGTATCTTGGTGCATTGGCAAACGTACCCATAAATTATTTATCCAGATTGGTTGGCTCAAAAGATTCTGGCTAGTAATAACTGAAAGCAACAACCATGTGGAAACGTGGACGAATCTGGGTCGCTGATGCACCTATGGCGGCTTGGATATTTTGCATCAATAATGTAGCAGCCTGGCAGGGTAGATAAAAAAAATGGAAGCGCCTGACACGTCGGCAATATTAAATAAATGTATAAATATCCTCCCAAATAAAACTTTATGGAAATTAGAGCTACCTTCTCAATCTTTCACGTAGTATAATTATGAGTCCTCAATCTTTAGAAACTAAGTTTTGAGTCCCCAATTATTTAGGAATGTGAATCTAAGTCCTCATGTGATCGAAACTAATTTCTTAATTTTTAAATTGTATTTTGTAACCACATTATATAATGTTTGAACTTTTCATTTGTGGCCATAAATAAGCTTTATGTGACCTTGGAATTGAGAATGCGACTATTTTATATATTAGAAAATCGGATAATGTGTGAACCGCGAGATTCCATATTTTATAATCGGAATTGAATAACAATAACATACTAATGAATATGGCCTCTAATTATAGTATGACCATGTATTGACTTTTTTATTCAAATACTCAAATGTAAATCATATTTAGATGTAACGTGTTAATTTACAATCGAGAAATGCTATTCATCCCCACTGGGGATGCATCCCCAATCTATGTGGCGTTAATGTGGCATTAAATGATAGGTGAAATTAAATAAGTCATTTAATTTCACCTATCATTTAACCAATCATTTACATCCACATAGACTGGGGATGCATCCCCACTGGGGATGAATAGCATTTTTCTTCATAAACGTACCCATAAATTATTTATCCATATTGGTTGGCTCAAAAGATTCTGGCTAGTAATAACTGAAAGCAACAACCATGTGGAAACGTGGACGAATCTGGGTCGCTGATGCACCTATGACGGCTTGGATATTTTGCATCAATAATGTAGCAGCCTGGCAGGGTAGATAAAAAAAATGGAAGTGCCTGACACGTCGGCAATATTAAATAAATGTATAAATATCCTCCCAAATAAAACTTTATGGAAATTAGAGCTACCTTCTCAATCTTTCACGTAGTATAATTACGAGTCCTCAATCTTTAGAAACTAAGTTTTCAGCCCCCAATTATTTAGGAATGTGAATCTAAGTCCTCATGTGATCGAAACTAATTTCTTAAATTTTAAATTGTATTTTGTAACCACATTATATATACTTATTTTTCACCCATATTTTACATATTGTTAAAATGTTTGAACTTTTCATTTGTGGCAGTAAATAAGCTTTATGTGACCTTGTAATTTGAGAATGCGACTATTTTATATATTAGAAAATCGGATAATATGTGAACCACGAGATTCCATATTTTATCATCGGAATTGAATAACAATAGCATAGTAATGAATATGGCCTCTAATTATAGTATGAACATGTATTGACTTTTTTATTCAAATACTCAAATGTAAATCATATTTGGACGTAACGTCTTAATTTACAATCTCATTGAATGAAATATTTGATATAATCACTAGTTTTGCAATTGAATCACGCAGTGCTTGTATAGTCTTAGTTTCCCAAATTTACACATCGTACGTATTTATTGTCCATAATAACTTCATGACGTTTGATAATGGTTGTGAATAATGATTATGTACTAATGACCCTAATAATGGCTTTGCAAATCTCATGTAGTGATGAAGATGATTTGTATCTTCTATATATTAAAAGTGGCTATGTAACGGAATTTTTTGTTTTTAATGGAAAAACTAACGGAATTTGTTGTTTTAACGGACTATGTAACGGAATTTCTTATTTTAAACAGGCAGCTGCATCTTCTTTCAATATTTTTATCATAACTTTATATTTTAATGTCCGATTGAGGCGAGTCAAAATGCGTTGGAAAGCTAACTCATATGGCTACAATTTTAATTCAGACATCATTCT